GGAGGTGGCGAGAGGGCCATGTAGCTGCTGATGGTGGAGCGAGGTTTTGCTCTAGAGCAGATGGTTGTTTCATGTTTTGAAGACGCTGCAAAAAGCCCTCATTTAACAAGCTGCTTCAGTCTTGGACTCAGTTTTAAGATGCTGTTTATTTTTAACGTGTGAAAGAACAACAACATTTCTTGTTTCCATTGCTCAAGTTTGGAAACATTGAATAAAGCAAGGAAATAAGAGCCACTCATTTCAGTTTCTTACACTGAGGCTTGTCTCGTCTGAAACCAGGGAATTTTTTTTTTTCACGTTTCTTAATTTTAAAATTGACAACAAGATGAAATGACTTGTTTAAATGAACACTTTTGCAGCGTGCTGGCTCTTCATCATGTAGAGAAGCTTCCTCAGTCTCTGTGGATCTTTATTTTACGCTCCACTTTGTAGAAAGATACAAATTCTGTATGTTTTATGTTTGTCGTGATTATGCAGACCCCTTCTCAAGCACCTGTCATCCTTCATGTCTGCTGATTTCCTCCCTCTGCTGTCGGCGCTGCCGTGATCCCTGCTGACCCTGCTCCAGCTCGAACAGCAGGACCCACTGACATGAACATGGACGCCAGGGGATGCATTCATTGTTCAGACCTGATCCGCGGGGGGGGGGCTAAATGTTTACATGCAGTCCTTTGTCAGCTTGGTTTGGAAATCTCTCCTCCATGTTTTTGTTTCCATTTTACACAAGCCTTATTCCAGTGCATCCACCTGTGTTTTACCAACTGTAGAGATCATGTAAATGTACATCAGATGTACTTTAAGGTCGACAACCAGCTGTACTACCAATTCAACATGTAGTTCAGTCCAAAGTCTGATCTTCCAGTGCATGTAGGTGCAGCGGTTTTTTCACAAATAACTAGAAATTGTTCTGGAAAAGCCACATTATCTTATTGTTAAATTGTTCAAATGCTTTTAGCTTCATCTCCCTTATTTTGGAGCGACAGGTGATATCAGAGACCAGTATCTCTAACTCTGCAAATCCAGGATAGACGCCACAGGGGTTAACGCTGCATTCACACCCTGTTGTTAAGCTGCAGCAGACTGAGGCCCAGTGACCTGCTATGACCTGACTGAACCCGCCCTTGTTACACAACACAACATCTTGTCCCAAGGTGTCGTGTTGTTTCCTGCTATGACCTGACTGAACCCGCCCTTTACAACATCTTGTCCCAAGGTGTTGTGTTGTTTAATGAAGCCTTTCCAAATTTCTTGTGTCACTAAACACAGCACACGATGTCACAGGCTGAAACTCATTTAGCTTACTTTATTTCCCTTATGAAGGAGGTCAGACTTGGTGGTAAACATGATAATTTGCAGCTCTTTCATGACCGTGTATGTGTGGTCCACTTGCTCTTACCCAGGCTGATGAACAGGATAAGGCTGTTGCATCTTCCCCAGTAACTGAGTCCCAGGCTGCATGTAAACATTGTCACTGACTGCTGCTTGGTTCCTGTCATCTGTGAAAGACGCCTAACTCTTTGTCATCCAATCAACAGCCCAGCAGAACCCTGCCCCTCCCATACCTGCCCGGCAGTACGAAGTGGCCATGAACCGGCAGCAGCGCTACTTCCGCATCCCCTTCATCCGGCCGGGCGACCAATACAAAGACCCCCAGAACAAGAAGAAGGGCTGGTGGTACGCTCACTTCGATGGGCCCTGGATCGCCAGGCAGATGGAGCTGCATCCTGATAAACACCCCCTTCTACTGGTGGCAGGTCAGTGCAGCATAGGCCGGTGCTCTGATTGGGCAGTTGCTGTCCTCCTGCTGACAGACAGCTGTTGTGATGAGAGACGCTGCTGGGAGGTCGATGTCAGTGGTACTGAGTGAATCAAACACTTATAAATCGTACATATGCAACGCTCACGTCTGCTGAAGTCCCAGTTTGAAGTTAGTAGTAGCTGAAACCCACCATCAGGTCCTTTAAGTCGTGGTAAGAGTACTTAAAGTAATTAGTAAAAAAAAAAAAAAGCTGATTATTTAGTGTTAAAACAGAGGTGGTGCCACCATCTGAGACACTTGGTGGCACCAGTGTGAAGTGGTAGCCCTGCACATGATATTTATATTTTTTAATTTGTAGCATTTTTTTTTTGTTTTTATCATTAATTAGTTTTTCATTTGAGCAGTTGCTGGTATTGTATTGGTAGAATTTTATATGCACAGAGAAAACTCTTGTTTATCCAACTGTCAGTCCAAATAAATGAACCTGTCTAAGTGTTGAGACTGTAAAATTACAGACATACAACACAGCACTAAGACAAAAGCGCTGTTGTTTCCCCATCTGTCTCATGTGCAAGTGTGCACTGCAGAGTTCAAACCTCCTCAGGCTTTATTTGACTTGGACTGTGGCTGTCTGGTGCACTGCAGAGTTCAAACCTCCTCAGACTTTATTTGACTTGGGCTGAGGGATGTTTGTGAGCCCTTCATGAAACCACCTCATTCTGCTTCATCTTACAGGGAAGGACGACATGGAGATGTGCGAGCTGAGTCTGGAGGAGACGGGCCTGTCGAGGAAGAGGGGAGCCGAGATCCTCCCTCGGCAGTTTGAGGAGATCTGGGAGCGCTGTGGCGGGATCCAGTACCTCCGCAGCGCCATCGAGAACCGGCAGGCGCGACCCACCTACGCCACGGCCGTGCTGCAGAGCATGTTCAAGTGACGGGGCCGGGGCTTCTCACTGCAGACAAAGGGACGAGTGCAGCAGCTACCTAACAGATGGCATCCAAGTGCACAGCACTAGGTTCTGACTGTGGGCCGCTCATGTCAGCAGCCAGTTTTTTCAGCTGTCCTTTTGCTATTTGTTTAAGTTTTTGTTGTTGTTGGCTCTCAGTTCTGGGGGGCGGGGGGGTTGCATTGAAACTTATGCAGAGAAATCATACTAAATGATCACATCCGGTTGTTTTCCAGCTAATTCTGTTTCTGCAGTCTAACGACGGGGCCTTAATTCTACTTTAACAGGGTTGAATTGCCAGAAGTAGGACTTTGTTTTCAGTTCTGCTTCCTCACACGTGAAAACCTTTGATTCCTCTGTAATTATGCATTCCTGATTATCACACTGACGTTTCGCCGGTGTGTGGCTTCCTTCCTAACAGCTCGTTGGTGACCCCTCTCTGACCTAAACCTGCTGTTTACGTCGTCTTCATGTGGTTCTTACAGGGCAAAGAAAACTTGCACAAGGAGTTGTGAGCTCTCACTGTGAGGCAGTGCTGCATGAGTGTCTGATGATTCCTCCCGACTGCACTCGTAATGACTTCCGATATTTGATAATACTGTTTTATTTTATCTTTTGTCTTTCCAGCTGAACGCAACTGATCTCATTGATTTGTCTTGTAGTGATTCCTCTTTTCATTTTGTGCAATTTAATGTGTAAAGCTAATGAGAAAGCTCCAAAAACCTTTGACTTTGAGACCAAACGCCGCTCTAGCATGAAGCCCCGCTTGGGGGCTTTTGGCCAGAGCAGAAATTCAGCCATTAGTTTCTCTCTGAGTTTATTAAGCAAAGCGGAAAATGTGAAGTAATTATGCAACTATTGAGACACAAGTCCGCGTGTTGCTGCTGTGTGAGAGCAGATCAGCGCCGCAGAAAAGCCCTTAGGTCATTCGTGCATCTTTAGTCTCAGAATTAGATCTTTTTACACAAAACACTGCAGTGATTCCCAAGGTAATTTCACTTGAGTTTTCATCTTGTAATCTTTAAAAAAAAATCTCCATCTGACTATTTGTTCAACATTCCAGAAAATGTTTAAAGGTTTTTTTAGTCTCATGTCAGACTGGACATTTCTCTGCTGTGAGAGAAGCTGTAAAGCACCTCATTAACTCTGCACTGGTACTCGGCCTTGAACTGGAACTTTCATTCAACGCTGACATATTTTCTCCACAGCAGGTGTAGTGTGTAGAGCCACAGTGATATTGCTACTAAGATGTAAAAGTTTATTTTTGAAAGAACAGTTTCTACTTCAGTGGCTCAGGCGTGTGACAAGCAATAAGTCACACACTAAGCTAAGGGGGGAAAAAGCAGGCCTCCTTTGTGGTGTACATAAACAATATAAGACAATCTGCTGTGACGTCACACCTGAGGCTGCTGAGATTGTTGAGATTGATGCTCTGCTCAACAGACAGGTGACTCAGATGAAAGCGAAGCTCGTCCCCTTTACAAAAGGCATTAACATGCAGGAAAGCAGCCTTAAGCCAGCGGACCAGTGCACTGAAGGTCTGATAGTCGTGCAGTGACTACATTTCAGTGCTTGAGCAGGTCTGACTGTTCAGTCTACTTTGCCCAGTGTCTAGACATGCAACACAACACAACACAAAACTGTGCCAAATGGGGGTGTGTGAAGTCTTGAACAGGGCTCACAAAGAGTTAATGACCTCAGGTCCATTTGGGAGGCCTTTGCTGAGGTTTTCTGATCTGACTAGCTGTGGCAGAGCTCGTTTGGTATGTAGTCAGATAAATAATACTCTTTGTAAAGTAACGAACATCACCGAGCGAGCAGCAGTTTGAAATCACCTGAAGTCCCAAATTATTTAGCCATGAGTGAAGAAATGGTGCAGCAACTCAAACGACTCCCTTCTGTCTGATGTTTGCATTAGACCACTTTAAAGACCTACAGAACCAGAAAGAAGGAAGTGCGCACATGTCAAATATCAGACCTGAGTCTCTGGTCCAAAAATGCCTGCATGCTAATGCCGAGTGTAAATGGGCCACGTTCTGAGCTTTGACCATGTTTAAGATTGTGTTCAAACCTGAGTGACGACACGATGTTTCCTCTAATGATAAAGGAAACGTCACGCATCTGGTTTTTTTTTTTGTGACATAACATGATCAAGGATGAAGCAGGAGACAAAAGCCGTTAGATAAAGATGAATTACAATAACAGAGAGAATTCAGTGTCTCTGTAAACAAAGAGGATCCCACCATGAACACACTGCTGGTGGCCTCGCCGAGCACAGGTGTCAGAGCCGCAGCCGCCCACCTGAGCAGACTGAACACAAACAAGTGGTTTTCCTCTGCAGCACAAAGGCTGGAGGAAATAAAAATACTCAAAACTGGCTCAGCTCAGGTTCAGACATGGTGACATGTTCAAAGGTTTGAGCTGCATTTCAAATTTATCTAATAAAAAAAAGTCGACTTCCTTGTCATAGAGCAGAAATCATGTTTGTGCCAAATAGAGCAAAAGACCTACAGGAAGTGCGCACATGTCAAATATCAGACCTGAGTCTCTGGTCCAAAAATGCCTGCATGCTAATGCCGAGTGTAAATGGGCCACGTTCTGAGCTTTGACCATGTTTAAGATTGTGTTCAAACCTGAGTGACGACACGATGTTTCCTCTAATGATAAAGGAAACGTCACGCATCTGGTTTTTCTCCACACATTACAATCATTCCTCGGGAAGCACTGCCTTTGTCCACTGTCAGTTTTCTAACGCTGATCTCTCTAACAGACAAATAAATGAATTCCATGTTTCACTCACTTCTCTGCTCTTCTTTGGTGTCGTGATGCTGCCAGCAAGTAAAAGTGTCTTTGGGAAAAAAATGAAGAACAGTGTTGTTTCTTATCGAACACAGGTTGTATTTCAACTAACTGATGCTCCACATGGTGACCATCCAACACCCTGAATAAGAAAAATCCAAATTAGTCGGATTTTTTCCCCAAAGTAGCAGGAAAAACAGAACAGTGACAGGTTATTTACATGAACTGTACAAGAGAAACATGACGTCGGAGAACAACCACCTCACAAAAAAGAAAATCACTTTTTCACCTGTCAAACAGCAATGGATGTCATTTAAATATGAAAAATCAGGTTTAACTGACCAACGTTTTCCTGAGGTTTGTGTTTAAAGTGGCCTTTATCTGCAACATGTGAGCCAAGTCCATCCACTGATTGTGAGCTGGGCATGATGGGAACTGGATGATTTCCAAGGTTGAGATCAACTTTCATGCTTAAGAAATCTCTGTCTTTCCTATGATGATATGTTAATCTCCCAGAAAATGGGATGTTTTCTAACCCCTCACTGTGGTGGTGATTAAATATCAGCAAAAGTCATGACATTCCCATGGGACTCAGTTGTAGCTGCTAAGCGCTAATTAGTCTGTCCATGCTGATAGTGCTAATTAGCACATGTACAACAGGGCAAACAATCTTTATCTTGTTAAGCTCTCAAAGCTTATTGGGAAATCTGAGAAACAACAGGTACAGTGGGCAGAACAAAAACCAAACGAAGATGAGCCTCCATAGTGGAGAAGGTTTTCAGATGATTGATCCTGAGGATTTCCACAGTGACAAACCTATTCCCTACAGAAACAAACAGAGGGAGACCAGGGGCGATCAATAAAAGGCCGGTTGACGCTGGAGAGTTGAGCTCCTCTTCATCATCGATGACTCTCCAACATTTTTCAAAGTGGCCTAAATGTCTTTTTCCCCTGAAGCTGTGAGGAGTTTGTCCTCAAACATCTTCAGCTTGGCATCATCCTTGATTTTGAACCGAGTTCCTGCTGCTGAGTCATGTTTCATCAAGTCTGCAGGGAGAGAGAGAGAGAGAGAGATACAGTATTAAAGGGGAAGTCCACCAATTTTACACATCAGTCATTGTACCAGACTTGGAGACCTGGATCCTCCATTTCCCATAATACATTTCAACTGTTTTGGGAGCTTGGCCCACACTAAAGACTACAACTGAGAATATCGCAGCCATTTTGATCGTTTTCCCCAAATTTAAGAACAAACCAGCACTTATGCTGGAGTGCTAGTTTGATATTGTTGAAACTTTAAATAAGCTCCAGAGGTTTTTCTGTTCAGAAAAACTGTTTAAGCAGTGGTGCAATATTAAAATATAATACCAGTTTATTACAACTTGGGTCGAGTACTTTTTGTCGCTTGGTCCGGGGGTGTCTCAGGTATTCATTGGTAAGTACTTTCTAAAAATAAATAAGACAAAACTGAAAATAAAAGACCCACATTTTTCTATTTTGTGCTGTTTCACTGAACTATCATCCTCTGATGAGTTGCATAAAAATGTCACGCTTTTCCATTTAGACACACTGTGTCCGTTCTTGTATTGAAATTTCAGACAAATTGGGATCCCGGTGATTCTGGGAGCCATGTTGTCGGGGGCAACAGCCACTGGTAGGGTCTCCCAAGGCAAAGTGGTCCTGGGGAGGGTCCAGACAAAGAGCGATTCCAAGATCCCTAATGATTTAGAGTTTTCTGAGCTGTGTCACCTTGTTGAGATTAGGGTAACTGGGTGTGTCACCTTGTTGAGATTAGGGTAACCGGGACCCCCTCCTGGAGCCAGGCCTGTTGAGCATCTGGTGGTCGCGCTTTGGCCTGTGGGGTCCAGTCAGGAACAGCCCAGACCTGTGTTCAGCAGCGGAGGAGGGCTAGGTGGTGGGACCCTGAGGCCAATTAATGTGTCCTCTGTGGATGAAGTAGTCTGAAGACTCGGTGAGTCTCACTCATATCTTTAGCAGAGGTCTCTGAGACGGTAGTGGATGAGATGCTGAAGGCTCTGGACATTGTTGGGCTCTGTTGACTGACTTGTTTCTTCAAAGTCTCATAGCGGACAGGGAGGGTACCTGCACTCTGACCCATATTTTAAAAAGGGGGACCGGAGGGAGTGTGTCAGCTATCAGGCTATCACACTGCTCAGCCTGCAGGAAAGCTTATGCCAAGGTGCTGGAAAGGAGGCTCCACCTGACTGTCGAACCCCAGAGGGTTCCTGGGTGGCTCTCGCTGGAGGTTTTCTGAGAAGGTCCTACTGGCAGGAGTAGACCCGGGATATGCCTGGGACCGCCTCAGGTCCCCCAGGAGCAGAGGGCTGTCTGGACTACCCTGCTGAATCTGCTGTTAGTGATGGATGAATGGGTTTACGGGTGGAGGCACCCTGCTCCCCCTCTAAGGTCAAGAGAAACTACTGCAGTTTCTGAAATATAATACTGAAAGATAATCCAGAGCAACGTCCCTGAAATAACAGATCCTTTTAACCCGACTATGCTCATTATGTGTTTATCAGACGTCACACAACATTTACAGTCGAGGTTACACTATCTTTTTCCAGTGGCAATTAATAGAAATGTAGCAGTTTCTTTAATTAGTGCCAAATTATGTGGCACTTTCTAGGAAGTCGTTAGGAATTCACAGATCCATAAAATGTTATCAATGTGCTTTGTCTTGTGAATGTGGTAAATCTGCTGCTTTCTCCCTTCAGGCTGTCCCAGATCTGTTTTTTGTCTTCCTCACTGTAAACTTTTCTGCTCTTTCGTGAGTTCGGCTTCTCTTTCTTAATGTGCACAGTGTGGCCTTGGTGACACAGGCGGAGACTATGACTCCAAAACACCTTTTATCCAGGGCAGAAAGCTGGTGAACCTCCCACGCAGCTCATCAGCGTCTCAGAGGAGCAGGCTGATCACCCCGAGGTGGGACTGGTGTTGATCCGTCTAAGGTTTATGCTCCTTCCTCCGTTTACCTGCTCGCAGTAAGACCTGAGTGCACACCAGGGATTTAACCAGAGCTGTTTTGCTTTAGACAATGGGCCCCTCTTACCTTTGGTGGTTTTCTCAGGTGCCATTAAAGCCAATACGTTTTCTTAACTGGACAGGCCTGGGAGTGAGGAGCTGTCTTTGTTTCTATAACGAGAAAATTGAAGCAGGAGTGAAAACAAACTGCAGCCACAGCAGCTTAGGCCTATAGCAGTACAATTGCTGACTTTCCACAGCTGTAAAACCCAGTGTCCTGGTATAAGATAAAAACCACAGAAACCAACACTGCTGTTTTACTGGTCTCCAGCAGGTCGACAGCTCATTGTGGGCTGTTGTACTGTTCACACAGGTGCTCATCATGCGACAGCTCATTGTGGGCTGTTGTACTGGAGCGCATCAGTTCACACAGGTGCTCATCATAGTTTTGTAGTTCTCCTCCGTAGTCTCATCAGAAAATGTCTCCAACATGATAATAACCTAAAAATATCTTTGCAAAGATTCATCTGATGGGAAATTCATCTTTCAACAGAGAACTCTCTGTGGTGCTCTGTCAGGCGCTGAGGTGCACGGGCCTAACAGGGTTGAAATGAGATTTTTCTGGCAGCAGAACAGCTGCAACTGTGAGCCAGTAGTTAATGAAAGAACCACTTTCTCTCCATTAAATCAGCTTAGCATCGATTTAGAGCGTTGGGGGCTGAAGATGTGAGGGAGAGATGAGACCAGAGACTAAACTCAA